TCCTAAACAACATTGGGGGACCGCTGAAAATTCCTTTTCAAAATATTTAGAAAACACACACATGGAATTTTCCACATTTAACTCACTTTTACTATTTAAAATAACCATTGAAAATAGATTTCGAAATTTCAAGAGAGTGGAACTCCATTTTAAAAACATAAGAATAATACTGATATTATAATATAATTTTCACCAAAATTTCAGAACCTAACTCTTTAAGATCATGTCACACTCTCTCAATCAATTTTCTAAAAAGAATAATTTATATAAAATAATTTGTAATCTGAAAAATCATATAAAAATTCCAGAAAATCATAAATATTTTGTTGAGCAAATCCCACAAATTTCACTTCAAAAAGACCTAGGGGTGAACTACACTCTCCGATTCAATTTATGGCCGAGAGTGGGCATCACAAATTACTGTTCATCTTCTTCATGAACAAATCTGAAAATTCCAGATTCGTCCCATCGACCAGCCATCTTTGGAGCTTCGATTCTCTCTCCTCAAAACACCTATGCAGGTATGGAAAGTACCAATAAACAGAGCTTACATCATACTACAATTACCCCATAAGCTTGGCCTCTAAAGGTCTCCGGTTTGCCGGATTCCGGCAAGAAAAGTAGGCCCACCGATCACAATTTTCAACTTAGGGTTCTTAACTTAATTTCATCATAACTTTTGATTTACCCAACCAAATTGAGTGATTCCAAGTTCTATGAACTCCTAATGGTTAGAGGAATCTATTGATACCAATTTGGTGGCCGGAATTCTCTCTCTTTCAAACCAAAACCCACCCTAATGCATGCTTACAAGGTGAAAAAATTAAGAAGTTGTTAAAACTAACCTCTTAGCACGAAAATATGATGGAAAATTGATGAAATTAGTCTTCAAAACTCTCTGGCCGTTCTCACTATTCTCCCAATTTGTCTAACCCTAGTTTTGAAAAGAAAGTGAATATATATATATATATATATATGACTAACTATGCTAATTACTTAATGGGTTTTTAGCCTATAATTTAAGATGTATTTGGGCCCAAAATAACATATAGAAAATCTTGGGTTGGGGTCTCACATCCTTCCCCCCTAAAAAGAAGTTTAGTCCTCTAAACTTTTACGTATCATTGGTTTCAAATAGTTCAGGATACTTCTCTTTAATCTCCGATTCCAATTCCCAGGTAGCTTCTCTCTCCGAGTGGTTATGCCATTGCACTTTCACGTATGGAATGGTCCGCCTTCTCAAAACTTGCTCCTTACGATCAACTATCTTAATTGGTTGTTCATCGTAAGTCAAGTCTGCCCTAAGTGGTAAAGGTGCCAATTCAATCACATGATTAGGATCAGGAGTAAACTTTCTCAACATCGACACATGGAACACATTATGCACACCGGACAATGATGGAGGCAAAGCTAGCCGGTAGGCTACTTCTCCAACTTTCTCCAAAATCTCAAAAGGGCCAATAAACCTAGGGCTTAACTTTCCACGTACTCCAAATCTTATCACTTCCTTTGTTGGTGAAACTTTCAAGAATACATGATCTCCCACATCAAACTCCAATGTCCTTCGTCTAATATCTGCATAACTCTTTTGTCGACTCTGAGCAGTTCGGAGACGTTCTCTGATCAATTGAATCTTGTCAACCGTTTGTTGGACAATTTCGGGGCCCAAAAGCTTTCTTTCACCTACCTCATCCCAACACACTGGCGATCTACACTTCCTCCCATACAAAGCTTCATATGGAGCCATCTGGATACTCGCCTGATAACTATTGTTATAAGCAAACTCCACTAAAGGTAAGTGGTCATCCCAAGCACCCTTCATATCAATGGCACATGCCCTCAACATGTCTTCGAGTAATTTGGATGGTTCTCTCTGATTGCCCATCAGTTTGGGGATGAAAAGCAGTGCTAAAGTTCAACTTCGTTCCTAAGGCCTTATGAAGACTTCCCCAAAACTCAGCCACAAATCTCGAATCACGATCAGAAACAATTGACACCGGCACTCCATGCAACCTAACAATCTCTTGAACATACAAAGCAGCTAACTTCTCCAATGAATAACCAACCTTCAAAGCTATGAAGTGAGCAGACTTCGTTAATCTATCAACAATTACCCATACTGACTCATGGCCTCGAGGTGATCTAGGTAACCCAGAAACAAAGTCCATTGTGATGTGCTCCCACTTCCATTCTGGTATTGGAAGCGGTTGTAGCTGTCCAGCTGGCCTTTGATGCTCCACTTTCACCTGTTGGCATACAATACATTGTGCTACAAATTCACCAATCTCCCTCTTCATATTGTTCCACCAGTAAGTCTCCTTCAAATCCCTATACATTTTAGTCCCACCAGGATGCACGGTATATCCAGAATAATGTGCTTCATCCAAAATCACTTTCTTTATTTCTACATCATTAGGAACACATAACCTATCATCAAATCTCAAGGAACCATCATCATGGATTCTAAAATCAGACGGAACACCTGTTTCAATATTAGCTCGTACCTTCTGAAGTGCTGAATCAACCAATTGTGCCTCCTTAATCCTCTCAATCAACGTAGGTTGAATTCTCAAACTAGCCAACATCCCTTCAGTGCCATGTTTCCTAACTCCAATCTCCATCCTTCTCAAATCATCTAAAATGGACCTTTGAGAAGTAAGAAGAGCTGCAAGATTACCATGATTCTTCCTACTCAATGCATCAGCCACAACATTTGCCTTTCCCGGATGATAACTTATGGTTAAATCATAGTCTTTCAACAATTCTAACCATCTTCGTTGCCTCATGTTAATCTCCTTCTGAGTGAAGATATACTTCAAACTTTTATGATCAGTGAAAATCTCACACTTCTCACCATACAAGTAATGCCTCCAGATTTTGAGAGCAAACACCACTGCTGCGAGCTCCAGGTCATGTGTAGGATAATTCCGCTCATAAGGTTTAAGCTGCCTTGAAGCATAAGCCACAACTTTCTCATTTTGCATCAAGACACAACCCAAACCTTTCTTCGAAGCATCACTATAGATAGTGAATCCTCCACTCCCACCAGGAACGGTTAAAACACTAGCTGAAGTGAGACGTTCCTTCAACTCCTTGAAACTTTTCTCACATTCCTTAGTCCACTCAAACTTAGCACCTTTTCTGGTCAATTCAGTTATCGGCATTGCAATACTAGAAAATCCCTCCACAAACCTCCGATAGTAACCAGCCAACCCAAGGAAGCTTATAACTTCAGTAGCATTAGTAGGTCGACTCCATTCTACAATTGCCTTCCCTTTTTCAGGATCTACTGAGATTCCATCTTTAGACACTACATGTCCAAGAAATGCCACACTATCCAACCAGAACTCACACTTCTTAAACTTAGCATACAACTTCTTTTCTCTGAGAATTTGCAATACTAACCTCAAATGCTCTCCATGCTCCTCCATACTCTTAGAGTACACCAAGATATCATCTATAAAGACCACTACAAACTTATCCAGATAATCCTTAACCACCCTATTCATCAAATCCATGAAAGCAGCCGGTGCATTAGTTAAACCAAATGGCATAACAAGAAACTCGTAATGCCCATATCTGGTTCGAAAAGCTGGCTTAGGGACATCCTCCACCTTAATCTTCAATTGGTGATAGCCAGACCTAAGATCAATCTTAGAGAAAACTTGGGCTCCCTTTAATTGATCAAAAAGGTCATCAATACGCGGTAAAGGATACCGATTACGCACCGTTACCTTATTCAACTCTCGATAGTCAATGCAAAGTCTCATGCTACCATCCTTCTTTTTCACAAACAAAACAGGAGCACCCTACGGAGAAACACTTGGTCGGATGAAACCATTATCCAACAACTCTTGCAACTGCTCCTTCAGTTCCTTTAACTCATTTGGAGCCATTCTATAAAGAGTTTTAGAAATAGGTGTAGTGCCTGGAATTAAATCAATAGAAAACTCCACTTCTCTATCTGGTGGAAGACCAGGCAAGTCCTCCGGAAAGACATCAGAAAAGTCTTGTACAATAGGAATACTATTCAAACTAGGCAATTCACCATCCAGGTTGTTTTGGACAGAAACAAGAAAACCTAAACATCCACTTTTCAACAAACGTTTAGCTTGTAGCATAGAAACAATTCTAGGAGGAGATTTAGCAGGGCTACCAACAAAACTAAATTCTTCAAAATCAGGGATGCGAAAGTCTATCCTTTTCCTATGGCAATCCAAAATAGCATAATATTTGTCTAACCAATCCATTCCAAGAATCACATCAAATCCATGCATATCTAAAACTACCAAATCAGCAGGTAAACTCACACCCTCAATAACAACAATGCAAGACTTGCGTACTTGATTGACAAGTACATCAACTCCAGTAGGAGTATCAATAACAAATTCAAAGTCCAAGGGTTCTACTATCACACCAAGTTTCTCAACAAAAGCAGGGGATACAAACGAATGCGAAGCACCAGTATCAAACAATGTAAGAGCATAAACTGAGGAAACAAGAACCATACCAGTCACCACGGTATTAGATGCCTGAGCATCTTACTGAGTAAGAGAATACACCCTTCCTTGAACCTTAGGCTTCTGGTTCCCATTCTTAGCAGCTGCTGGAGTAGAAGTCTGGCCCACACTAGCGCACTTCTTAGGTTGAGGACACTCAAATGACTTATGCCCTTTCTGTCCACAATTATAGCAAAACTCAATAGTTGGTCTTGCACGAGAACAAGAAGCAGCCCTATGTCCCATCTCGCCACAAATCAGACAAGCTCCAGATAACCAACGACAATCCTTAGGGTCATGATTCCCATGACACCTCCAACAATTGCCTCCACTACTCTGCTGAACCCTGTTATTTGTTTGCACAGTTTGCTGCTTCTTACCCCCACCTCCAGCATTATGTCCACGGAAGTTAGAATTTCCAGTCCAAGGCCTTTTCTTATTTTCCGAGGTTGCAATCAGCTCATGACCTTCCTCCAACAACTTTGCCTTATTAACCACATCAGAGTATGTAGTCAACTCGAAAGATTTCACCTCATGCTGAAGTCTGGGATTTAGCCCAAACAGGAACCTTTGAGCCTTCGCCACATCATCATTCTTAAAGGAGTCAGGAGCAAACCTCATCAGTCGACTAAACTCCATCTCATACCCAGAAACAGTTCTACTACCCTGCTTGAGTGAATAAAATTCCCCTTGCATCTGAAGTCTCACACTATTAGGGAAATACTTCTTGTAGTACTCCCTTTTGAACACATCCCACAAAATTGGTTTCTCCAAAAGGTTTTCAACAGATTGCCACCAATCACTGGCAGCTCCCTTCAACTGATACGATGCAAAAGGAATCTTCTGCTCATCAGATACTGCCTGAGCCGCAAAGGCCCTCTCAATCTCCTTGATCCACTTCTCAGCATCTAATGGATCAATCGAGCTACCTTCAAAGGGTGGAGCGAGCTTGACAAAATCTGTCAAACCACTTCTATACCCAGCATGATTCTCCTGGAACCTCTGTTGCCTATCCACAACCCCAACCAATTGCTGCATCAAGCTCATCACATCTGGTTGTCAGCGTTACCCCTTCGGTTTGTCCAAGTCCTCAAGGGTTCATTCTTAGGCCTAGAATCCCCAGACTCAGAACTTTCTGCAACGTCGTTAGAACGACCAGTTGCTGCGACATTCTTTTTCTTAGGCGGCATACTACAATACATCACAGAATTCACAACCAATTCAATTATCAATCAAGCAAAATATCACAAACATAAAGATGCACATGAACTCCTATTCTACCCATTCCTCACTCGTCACGAAATTCGTCCCTAGTAAGTCGCAACCTAAGCTCTGATGCCACTAAATTGTCACGCCCCGAACCCGCAGGCTCGAAACATAACAACGCCACACACTCACGAGGCGAACCCCATAAGCATGTAAAGCTAACTATCAATCCAAAATAATTAAAAGTCTAAAATCTTTAAAATCTCTTAAAACAAAATTAATCTTACAATCCCAATAATAAACATTAAATAATAGCGGAAGCGGTTCAATACTATAAATAAAGTTCAAGTCTAATTAATTCATCCTAGCGCACTCTCCCAAATGCACCCCAATGTTCAATCGTCATCACCTGAAATATATTAACAACATAATGAGCTAAAGAGCCCAGTAAGTAACAAAACCTAACTAGCCGGATCAAGCACTTAAAACCATTTTCTCAAAAATCACAATATTTAGCAAAACAATATTTTATAACCAATTTCTCAATCACAATCAACAATAAAAATATTTCAATAGAGTTCTTATCAGGCCGCCACGGTACACGATAACACGATACACAATATTTCAACCGATCGGTAATAGATTCTGGAACCACCAACAGTTTAACCCCCTGAGGCACGGGTCCACTATGCAGCCATCAAAGTCCCCAAAAACCAATTTTCACAATCTCAAATCAATTTCACAATACCACAATTCTAAATCAATTTTACCTTTCATGCTTGACCCATTTTACGAAACCATTTCAATAGTTCAAAAACAATAAAACATCAATCATTTTGAAAATAACCAGAAAGGTTCGGAAACTTACCTGATTAGCAAAGCAATCACAGCACAAAATCCACAGCAAGACAAACACAATCACAATCCTAACAATTTATAACTATTTGTTAGAAACGGAAATTATACACAATGATTATGCATGCTCAATCTACCCTTCAACCAATCCTAAACAACATTGGGGGACCGCTGAAAATTCCTTTTCAAAATATTTAGAAAACACACACATGGAATTTTCCACATTTAACTCACTTTTACTATTTAAAATAACCATTGAAAATAGATTTCGAAATTTCAAGAGAGTGGAACTCCATTTTAAAAACATAAGAATAATACTGATATTATAATATAATTTTCACCAAAATTTCAGAACCTAACTCTTTAAGATCATGTCACACTCTCTCAATCAATTTTCTAAAAAGAATAATTTATATAAAATAATTTGTAATCTGAAAAATCATATAAAAATTCCAGAAAATCATAAATATTTTGTTGAGCAAATCCCCCAAATTTCACTTCAAAAAGACCTAGGGGTGAACTACACTCTCCGATTCAATTTATGGCCGAGAGTGGGCATCACAAATTACTGTTCATCTTCTTCATGAACAAATCTGAAAATTCCAGATTCGTCCCATCGACCAGCCATCTTTGGAGCTTCGATTCTCTCTCCTCAAAACACATATGCAGGTATGGAAAGTACCATTAAACAGAGCTTACATCATACTACAATTACCCCATAAGCTTGGCCTCTAAAGGTCTCCGGTTTGCCGGATTCCGGCAAGGAAAGTAGGCCCACCGATCACAATTTTCAACTTAGGGTTCTTAACTTAATTTCATCATAACTTTTGATTTACCCAACCAAATTGAGTGATTCCAAGTTCTATGAACTCCTAATGATTAAAGGAATCTATTGATACCAATTTGGTGGCCGGAGGCTCGCCGGTCGGCGGCCGGTGGCCGGAATTCTCTCTCTTTCAACCCAAAACCCACCCTAATGCATGCTTACAAGGTGAAAACATTAAGAAGTTGTTAAAACTAACCTCTTAGCACGAAAATATGATGGAAAATTGATGAAATTAGTCTTCAAAACTCTCTGGCCGTTCTCACTATTCTCCCAATTTGTCTAACCCTAGTTTTGAAAAGAAAGTGAATATATATATATGACTAACTATGCTAATTACTTAATGGGTTTTTAGCCTATAATTTAAGATGTATTTGCCCAAAATAACATATAGAAAATCTTGGGTTGGGGTCTCACAGTTGAAGATTTCGATTATCATAGACTTATACTAAGGAACTTAATTAGTGAGTATAATTTTTATAGTTATGGTGAGTTGCGGTTCATTTTAAGTGATATATATTTTTTTTCACTAGTGATTAAAGGACACCTTTAAGTAGAGTTACTTTTTTATTTAAATTGCTATTATTAATTGTAAACGCGTGATTATGTTTTCATTTCACTACAAACAAAAACATTTAATTATCATATCTTACAGCATTTGGCTTTACTCATTCTGACATATTTGTCCAAAATTGATTGGTTGGGTAAATTGATTTAATTATCATATTTTACCTATAATTAATATTTTCATTCACCCAAAATAATAGTATTAGGATGATATTGAATTAATGACTCTCCTTTTATTTAAGGTTTTGTCTCATCCTAAAATTAAAAATCTCTTTGCCTGTCACATTTTTCTTCTTAAAATTAAAATTTTTTGTGCGATTATTTAAAATAAATATAAAAACCTGACGCGGATGCGCTGGAACAATATCTAGTATCTTTTTAATTTCCAGTTCTATAAATGAAGAAAATAAACATTTAAAATTTCTTCTTGATTGAGATCTACAACTTGAATTCAAATTAGTCAAAATATAATGTTATTACCGGATAACAAAAGTTTGCGAGATGAAAATAAAGGTTAAATGTTCAAATTGATCACTAATGTTTGTGAAAATGCTCAAATAAGGGTCTAACCTTTTAATTTGGTTAATTATGTCCCTAACATTACAAAATCGGATCAAATCAGTATCTGACATTAAATTGATAGCCTAATAAAACTCCAAATGTTAGGGACTTCAATTGAGTTAAGGAATTCGAGCCAATTTTATAAAAGACCGATTTGAGTCAATTTTACAATATTTAATACTTAATTAACCAAATTAAAAGGTTGGACCATTATTTTAGTATTTCTAGCATGCATTAAGCACCAATTTAAACAATTAACCGGAAATTGTGCCCAAAAAATTAACCGGAAATAAAAGTTCGATTTCCTACATAATAATAGAATATTAATAGAAAGTTTTATTGTCTCCGAGGGACAATGATTAAGAGCTTGGGCCTCTAGTAGAGGTCTTAGGTTCAAATCCTAGGCATGGTGGATTTAACGATGAGATTGTGTAACTTATCTTTTAATTTATTTTTTTTTGAGATAATACTTATCTTTTAATTTAATTTCATGTTGAGATGTAGAAAAAAATGGCAAAATAGTCCCTTTGCTCTTTGAACTTTGCAAATTTAGGTCAGATTGTCCCTAAACTTTAAATTGTGCCACTTTGCCCCTGAATTTGTAAAATCAAGCCAATTTACCCCTAACTTGACAGATGACTAACGGATTCTGTTAAGTCCCACAAAATTTTGATGACGTGGTAAACTTATATTGACGTGGCACTTCCACGTCAGCGTTCAGCATTTAAGGTAATGTGAGGCCCACATGAACGCTAACGTGGAAGTGCCATGTCAGCATAAGTTTATCACGTCATCAAAACTTATGGGACTTAATGGAATCCGTCACGTAAAAGGGGGGATTGGTCTGATTTTACAAATTCAGAGGTAAAGTGACACAATTTAAAGTTCAGGTGGCAATCTGACCTAAATTTGCAAAGTTCAAAGGGCAAAGGGACTATTTAACAAATATATATATATATATATATATATTAAATTAAATTAAATTAAACCTACTATTAATTTTATGTACAAGACCCTCATTGAGCGCCACTTGGCATTTGGTTTCTTTAACAAGTGTCAATAGTTAATTTTCTAATATTTTATTTATTATATTTGTATTCATTTAGTTTGAAAAAAATAAAATACGTTGATCCCTTTTCTATATAAAATAAATTATCAAATAATTATAAATTTGTTATGAATATACATATATGTTGTTGATGTCCATGAATCTAATTAAAGCATGGATAAGATTGATGACTTGGTTCATTCATACACATATACCTATGTACTAAGTTCATCCCCTTATATTTATGGTGATGTATCTATATGTCTATAAATAGGCCACTTACTTTGTTATGGAATAAGATGAATGAGAACAATTTTTCTCCTTCTTCATATTTTCTTCTTCTCCATATTCTATTGTCTCTCTATTTTCTTGTCTTTTTCATACTTCAATTTTACTCCCTTGCTTTGTTTTGTAATCATTTCACAACAAAATTTCTTTTCTTAACTAAATTTTCTTAAAAGAATTTATAAAATAAAACAGACACACGCCGGCCAGAAACTCTAGTATATCTTTAAGGTTGTAATCTCAATTTAGGATCCGAACTTTCATAAAAATCTCAAATAAGGGCCCCAAAACACAATTTCAACAAATTAGAAGACATACTAAGTAAATTTTTACAAATTAGGTTCTCCTCAGGTGAAAACCAATGCTTGTCATGCCTACACATCAATTTTGATAGAAAAATGGTGTTATTAAATTAATTAAAAATCAAAACATATTAATCCAAATAAATTCAATAAACATTGTATGATACAAAATTTTTCCGTGCTTTTTGATTTATATATATCTCAGACACTAGTATTAGCTAACATCTTGCACAATATGTCATAATTTACTAAATATGTACTTTAATTTGTTAAAATTGTGTTTTGGGGCCCTTATTTGAGATTTATATGAAAGTTAAAGCCCTTATTTGAGCCTTTAGTCTATCTTTAATTGTAGCTCCCGGCCAGTGTTGTTAAACCCGGACCGACTTGGCCGGTTGAA